TAGTGGTCTTGCTGGCCTGCGGGCCACCAAGACCCTCTTCTCCCTGCTGCCTCTAAGCAACTTCTTAGGAAGGGCACAGCTGCAGCTTTTGCCAGCTCTTGCTCCATGCACTCACCAGCTCCAGCCTTGAAGCAGCTGGGATTCGAAATGGTGGGAGGGATCCCTTCTTTCTCTCATTGTGGCTTCTCCTGCCTTCACGCATTCCATAGGTTTCTCTTTCCCATCCCCTGAGCTCTAGCAGCCCCAGCTTGGCTGTTGTTGCTTTTTAATAGTTGTAAATTGGTTGACTTGTGGGAGAGAGTGAAACTGGGGACCATCCATTCCACCATCTTGACCAGAAACCCTTCCATGTTCTTGAGAGTCAATTGCAGGGATGCCAGCAGCTGCATCCTGAGTCTTAGATTACAATAAATGTGGTGTTTTCATGAACCAACCATTCACAAAGCAACTTCCTGGAGGCTCAGGCAGGGGCCTGCTCCTCCAGCCTTTCAACACCTCTGCACACACCTGAATTCCTTGTTGAACCTCTTTCTGCTTAGAATACCCAGAGTGGCTTGAGCTTCCTGTGCTGAGCCCTGACTGGTAAGTCCACTTTAACAGGCTTCTAGATTTTTTCTCAAAAACTGTAAAGCTGATAATGGTTTTGAAAACACATGATTCCATAACAATGTGGAAGCTGAGAGGTCATCCTTTCCAAATTTATTGTTAAGTGGATGGAATTAACTTCTTAATAACAAACCAGGTTCAAGACCTCCAAAGTCAGTCCTACAGTTAATGGGCAAAACTTATCCCCTCACACATTACTCCCCTATTGGCATTAAAACTGGAGCCAGTGTTAAACTGCTGAGAAAGATGAGTACTTTATTCCAATTGTTCTATGACTCATGACCTTTGTTGTGCCATCTGGAAACCCACTAGGATACAAATGTACCGTTTAAAATCAAACACATAGGGATGTTAGTTTTTCTGTTTCATTCTCATATTGTTCTGAGAAATTACAGATATTTTCTTCTAAAAGAGGCATGGTCAACTATTCAAGTTGTGCTGAACCTAAAGTAATCTAAGTCTAGTCTTAAACAACTTATGGCCTTGGATCATGGTCATTTAGGAGAGTCTGCAAATGATGAAAGTTTACGGTCACTGTGAAAAAGTTATCCAATCAAAACCTTGTAGAACTGTCTACTCTGTGCATAACAGCATATGGAATCAAAGGCCTCTTCTGATATATTTCTAACTCCACAAATGTGAATTTTAGAAAGTGAAGTGTCAGTAAATTCATCATTCGATTTCTGGATTCACTTTAAGTGATAAAAAAACATGTTTTGATGCCTGAATTACAATGGTAACTCAAATGTTTGGGAATGTGATGGAACCCATCAGTGGTTTCCCAGTACTCCAGTGCTATTCTGCTCTGCAGCTGGAGAACTGGTATGATCTCAGCCATGCCATTGGTACCCAGTAAAATATGTAATTCACTGCTATGCACAAATCAATACCGTTTTCACCCACCAAATTGAACCTATAGATAAAAACTCCATTGCTTTGAAAGTAAAGACGATTTCTTCAGAGATGTATTGTCCTTGTTGCAATGTCTTATATCTCTCCTACACATTCTGTGGGCTTTTAGTTTTTTTAAGCCCCATATGAGGTGCCCCATTTTCCCAAATACGCTATACTATTTTGTGCCCACCCATTTCTGTGGTGAACACCTCTCATATTTAAAGACATGGGTTAAATATTTCCTACATGAAGTCTTCTGCATCTTCCATTGCAATTGATACATTCCTGTCTGCCTAGAACCTTCCTTCCATCAAGGAAGTGCTCCCCTTTCATCCTATGAGATCCCAACCACCCCTAGCCACAGGAGAGGACAGATAACCTAAGCACATTCAAGCGGAGTACTTCCGTGGAATTTGCTATGTGGACACTAGAAAAAAAAAAAAAGAGCTTCTCTTTCTGTAAAGAAGGAAGTTTGGAGCTTCCTACGCCTATCTCTTCTCTGTATGGACAAGTGGAAAAGACGGGAAAGGGAGAGAGACAAGAGGGGAAGAGGAAGGAAGGGTAGGAGGACAGGAAAGGAGAAAAAGAAGATGGGGCAGGGGAAGAATAGGACAGAGAGAGACAAGGAGAGAAATAGAGAGAAGGGAAGGAAAAGGAAGAATTAGGAAGCTGGGGGAACCAGATGACATAACTTAGGTCAATGGATTCAACTGTACCTTAAGCTGGTACTACCCTCATTTAGATGAGCCAATAAATTCCCTTTTGCTCAAGCTAGTGTGGGTTGGATTTTTATCACTTGCAACCCAGTCAGGACCAAGAAACACATTTTTCTATTACCTCTCTTGCCTTTGCTCTGCATTCCTCACAGATTTAATCCTGGCCTGATATAATCTGAAGTATTTCTCACCAGTTTGCCTGTGAACTCACAGAAGACAGGCCTTGTTCTTGTATTCCCAGTGCCTAGCACATGGCAGACTCCCAGCAAATGTTTCCAGGGTGGGTCATATGCCCAATTTTGCCATCCCACTTGAAAGTCACACCCACTTCCCCCCTTCCCCCCACCAAAAAAAACACCCCAAGATGTAAAAGGAGATTTAGCACACCTCTCACTCATGGGGAGAAATGTGAATGTCTGTAACAGCTGTTAGGGAAATGACACCTTTGGGGAAACTATGTTAATATTAAGTACAAATTGTTCTCTAAAGATGGAAGAGCTGTCCTGTGGGATGAACTAACAGGAGATAAAAAATGAGGTCTCCCTAAAATGCCCACCAGTATTGTCATAAATGGGACTGCTGGATTGGCTGACATTCTTAGGCTACCCGACTGAGTTTTACGAAAATATATGGAGCAGATTAAATATACTTTCCAATCACCTCAGGTAAGAAATACAGATAGGAGCTATTTCAGTCCATTCAGGCTGCTAAAATAAAATACCTTAGACTGGGTAATTCATAAGCAACAGAAACGTATTGCTCATAGTTCCAGAGGCTGGGAAGTCCAAGATCAAGGCCCCAGCAGATTCAGTGTCTGGAGAAGGCTAACTCTTGGCTTCGAATATGGTGCCATCTAGCTGCGTCCTCATGGGGTGGAAGGGGGCAAACAAGCTCTCTTGGGACTCTTTTATAAGGGTGCTAATCTCATCCATGAAAACAGAGCCCTCATGACCAATCACCTCCCAAATGCCCCACCTCCTAAAACTACCACATTGGGGATTAGATTTCAACATATGAATTTTGCGGGGACACATTCAGACCACAGCAGGAGCTACAACTCACCCAATCCCAATTAAATAGATTATAACTTCTGGGGATAGGTCAGATTTTTCAAGAGGAAGTTGTTTCCTGCCTAAATAAGGGTTCCAGAAAATATGTGTTAACGCATGAAATATATACCAAAGGCTGTGAAGGGGTGTTGGTGCGACCTGGTGTTCTCTGTCTCATTTGAAATAGCTTAAAGATTTCTTCCCAACAGGATATGAAGAGCAATCTGTTCCAGGGGACTGTTTTGGTTGAGATAGGGATTAGCCACATCTTGAGGACAAGGTGGGAAAAGGCATATTTAAGAGAACAGTTCTCTTGGGGGGCTTATACGGATTGGGCAGATTTTATGTCAGAATTCCAAATGTGCTCCTAGTGTGGTTACAGTTGCAAGAGCACAGATTAGTCGACATCAACTCCAGGCTCCCATTTCATTACCAATAGGATGAATTACGCAGGGGAACCAGCTATTTCGTTTGCATTCCAGTCTCCCTAGGTACAAAATGGGGACAATTCTACCTCTACCCACCTTACTAGTTGTTAGACAAAACGTTAACAATCATTTGCTCTAATTCCATTATCTTTCCCATGAGAAAACTCATGCTTTAAAGCCCTGTTCTTACCATTTTTTCTGTCTCAGATCCTTCTGAGGATTTGTTGAAGGAAAGAATCACAAAACTCCTGAGGTTCTTTCTTAGGGAAGTCAAGTTAGTAAACCCTGAATTAGAGAAAACAATTTCAATGAATGAAAATAATTTTAAAAAACAAACAGTAAAATAAACTTATTTAATCATGAATTCAGTTATTTTCAGGCAATACTGTTCATCTATTAACACTCAACATATTCCAAACTTACAGGTTAAGTACCACTCCATATTTCCTATCAGTAACTACCATTATACATGAGCTTCTTCTACAATCATAGCGAGAGAACGAACTGCTAAATGTTTGTGGTAAATAAATTCAGTAAGGCACTCAAATCCTAGACATGAACTAATACAGGGACTCTCTCCCCTGCTTTATGAGTTGAAACATGAGCATGTTTCCTTCTTTTTCAATGCTTTTTATAGAAAGATATGCTGTTCTTGAACTTGTCTAAGCATAGGTTTATACCAACTCATCCATTATTGTGTACAGTTATAATCAAGGAAATTATTTCATGTTGCTAGTTTATTAAGATAGGAATAAGGGAAAGCAGTTAGAGTTTATTAGTAAAACAAAAAAGCAATTTCTGAGGAAATGTCTTACATGTGAATCCCCAGTACTTAGTATAATGCCTGGAATGTAGCAGGGACTAAATTCAGTGAACAAACGAGTGAACCTTTAATTCCTAGAGAACTGCTACATACCACCTTCTCTAAAACAAAGGAAGAGACCAAAAAACAAAAACACAACAAACTTTAACAACTCACAGGATTTTCTTAGGAAAAAAAGCTTTAATTTATGTATTTAGCACAATTCTCTTTGTAAAATATGTTTATTAAAAAACCCAAACAAGGGCCGGCCTGGTGGCGCACTCGGTAGAGTGCGGCACTTGGGAGCGCGGCGGCGCTCCTGCCGAGGGTTCGTATCCCATATGGAGACCGGTCCGCTCACTGGTTGAGCGCGGTGCGGGCGCGACACCGAGGGTTGTGATCCCATTGCTGGTCGCAGTGCGGGCGCAACAACCAGGGTTGCGATCCCGTTACCGGTCACGAAAAAAGACAAAAAGGAAAAAAAAAAAAAAAAACCAAACAAAAGCCCTGTCATTCATTTATTTCAAAAGACAGATCATTTCAGTACTTCTTCCTTCAACTGCCTGCAGTTTCTTCATCTGGCCTCAGAGAAGGGCATAGGCATCATGCTTTATACTAACAAATGAAAATCCAGTAAGGAGAAATCCTGTTGCAAGGGGTAGCTGTTTTCATCTAATACGAAAAGGCTCTGAATCTTCATTGCCCGAGGTTCCCCGCTGGCTGCCAACAAGGAGTGGAGCACGTCTGCTGCAGCCATCCCATAGGTGACCTCTGAGGAAGGTACTGTGGATTAAACACACAGAAACTCTCAATATCCCTTCTGGGTTGACAAAAACACACACAGTGTAGGGTTTTGTTGTTTCCCTTGATCCTCAAGTCTCAAACCCATTTCAAATTTCTCTTCCCTACCTTCTCTTTCTAGCTGCAACTTGCTGAAGGTACTCTAGAGTGATGGCTCATGATTCCTGCTGAACGTGAAAAGCAGGTGCAGATAACACATTGTGCAGACTGACAGCAGTTCCTGTTAGGGCACAGCTATTAGCTTCTTAAAACAATACAGAACTAAAATTAATGTTTCCTAAGTTTGGACTGAAACAAAAAGGGCGTGTCCGTATAAGAAAAGTACTCTTATACTTACTCCATCTACAGTTCTTATCACAGTTATATGTATGTGAAGGTTACTAACATTAATAAAGCAAATATATTTTACAGGGCCTAACTTTTTAGAATTACACACAGAAATGTTAAGCTTGCAAAAGACAGAAAACTTTCCCTGGGCTAAAGTCTCTGTTGTAGATAAAGAATTGTAACACAGCAAAATTGCCGGCTCTAAGATCAGATGTCCTCGGTGCAGCTAAACCTAATGATTGTTGCCATGACAATTATCTTACTGTTCTTTTGTAAACACCTATGTTCCTTTTTTGTAACTTTCTTGCCCAGAGAATAAATACTGAGAGAGAAACCTAGTTCAGGGTTATTTTTCCAAGGAATGCTTCTCTCTTGAGGGTTCCTGGAAATTAACCCCTTCAGGGCTCTCACTGCTCAGAAGAAATGGGCTTTGAGTAATCCTTTGCATCCCCTCACCCTGGGAGAGGTGACATACATATATATATGTATGTGTGTGTGTGTGTGTATTATATCTATAAAAGAACCTTGAATCAGTTATTTAATGAATATCAAATATCAATAATAAGAAAAAATGCTAAAATTATAGGTAGACATGTCATTTTATTTTGCATTGTCCTATATTCTTCTTTGTTTTCTTAATCAAGTTTTTCAGCAGGTTGCTCAATACCAGACTGATAAGGCACCATCAAGTAGGCTCAGACTACACTAGTTTCCTGACAAATACCACCAGTGTTTCTTGGACTGGGGTAGACTCCTGGAGGACCTCTGACATATTTTTGGAAGTGTGAGAATTCTCTACAATAATTTTTAAATTTTGTATTTTCACTTTGATAAAGTTTGATTTTTAAAAAATCAACATTAGTGATAATTCAGATGGTCTGATGACCACGTTATAACAAATGACATTTTCACTTATGGTTACAATCTAATTAATGCCAAGAAGTATGACTTTGTCTCAAAAATGGACAAAACATGGAAGTATGCTTGATATGAGGATGATGCTTCTCTAATAAATAAAGACTAAGTTATGCAAAAAATGGAGACGACTAAAAATATAAAATATATAGAAGAACATTGAGAAAAGAAAAAAATAGCCAAAAAAATGAAAATGAAATAAAGTGAATAAAAAAGAACGGACAGGCTTCTAATTAGGATGTAGAAAGCTGGAAAGAGTGTGGCTCCCACCCTAAAGTTATTGGATAAAGCTAAATCATCAGAATCATCACTTTCTTCAAACCAAAGTTTGTACAGAAGCCAAGAAGACTGAAATGTATGGAAAGACAGGTGCCTCCAAGGACAGGGAACAGGAGCACAGATTACCCTGGGGCAGGGCTCAGAAAGACAGGTCCACCAAACAAGCAGGAAAGAAGCATGGGCTGTAGTGGATTGAATGGTCCCCTGAAGTAACTGAAGCTTAATCCCCACTGTGCCTGTTGAGGATGGCAACTTGTATTATGGTAATTGAAAGGTGGGGCCTCGAAGAGGTGCTTAGATTGTGAGGACCATGCCATAGTGTATGGATCAATAATGGTGGTCATGAGTGTGGTTCTGAGGGCTTTAACAGGAGAGCACATGAGAGTCTGTCTCTCTCTATGCTCCACCATTCTTGCCATGTGAGACCCTAAGTTGCTATAGTCACTGCCAGGAATAGGCCCTCACTATATGTGTTCTCTGGACTTTGGACTTCCCAGCCTCTGAAACTGTAAGCAATAAATTTTCATTTTCTTACAAATTATCCAGTTCCGAGTATTTTGTTACAAGCAATGGAAACAGACTAATACATGTACATGTGCTTACATTTTTAATGAATTGCTAAAAGCCAATGAACTGCTAATGCCACAGACAGAAGGGGAGTGTGCATCCTCATGGGTTCTTCCATGTGGTTCTTTTCACCTCCACCAGGTGCTCACAAGACTGGGGCAGGGCAAGACAACAGGAAAGCTCCCAACCATGGTGAAGGCCTGGAGGAGGGGAGAAGCTGCCAGGAGAAAAAGCACAAAACATCACCTGGGCCTCCCCCTTAAGAAACAAAAGCCTTCAACTGCTGGAGCAAGAGCAGCAAATCCTGTTGTCCCAGGGTACAGGTGAGGACCCAGTGCAGATGGGGGAAAGGTAAAAGAAAAAATCCCTCTATCCCTGGGGGAGCATCAGAAAACCATCCTTGGGCCGGCCCGGTGGTGCACTGCTACAGTGCGCCGCTTGGGAGCGTGGTGGTGCTCCCACCGAGGGTTCGGATCACACGTACAGACCGGCCGCTCACTGGCTGAGCGAGGTGCGGGCGCAGCACGGAGGGTTGCGATCCCGTTGCCAGTCCCGGTCCGGTGCGGGCGCAACACTGAGGGTTGCGATCCGTTGCCGGTCACGAAAAAAGACAAAAAGGAAAAAAAAAAGAAAAAGAAAACCATCCTTGATCAAGACCATTACTGGTCCCCTACCACTGTGGGAGGGGCAGGACCACACAAAACCCACCAAAGACACAAGGCAGAGCTTGGCTGCCATGGTAGGAGAGGCAAGGCCACACCCAAGATCCTGTATAAGATTGGGGCTGGGCCAGAATTAAAGAGAATCAATCCTGCTCCCTCCCACCAGGCTAAGATGCACCAAATAACCACCAACAAAAGCCTGTACAACTTGGGGAGAAGCAAAAACATGTAGAGACATTTTCTCTGGGGCCCAGGTGCAGAGTGAAGGGCTAAGCTAATGGTGGAGCAGGAATATTGGGGAACCACTCCCCACCACAGGCACAAGATAATACTAGAAGAAATTGAAACCAGCGCTGACCTGAAGGTAACCACAATAATAATAAAACCTGAATCCAACTCAACTTCTGAAAAGACTGACACTATCCTGTCCACCTCTTACCCCCAGTAAAGGTCTACAAGAGGTATGCCCATTTCCAGGTACAATACTGTTTACCTCAGTCTGTAGTGTTCTATATGTAATGTTCTGCATTCAAGCAAAAATTAAGACACCCAAAAAACAAGAACAACAATCCACTTTAAAAGACAAAGCAATTATTAGAACCAGATTAGCTCATCTGCTTACAGAGTCTGAGACTAATGAGGACAGGTATGGAATTTGAACATCTGACAGGTGGGTTATCTTCACTTTGTTCTCAACCACGGACTATCCCAAGCACTGTGGCTAAAGATCCTGCAAACCATCCCACTAACAGTGGACTATCTTCATAGTGTCACAGATTCATTTACTTCACCCATAAAACTAGGGTCCTACTATTTTTGCTTACCAATTGGGAATTTGGGTTAAGGAGCAATTAGGTTCTTCCTGCTATTCATGTACTAAGACAGAGGTACAGCAAGTCTTACCTTCTTTACATAGTCTTATGTTTCACTAAACTAAATTATCGTTCCGCTTTTATATTGACAGAAAAATCCTTAATTTACAGAACGGTGTTCCTTCTGTTCTAATGTACCATCTACACTTCTGAATGAATGGTTTCACTAAGAATAACCTCTTGATGGCAGGTTGATATATTACCTATCACTCTATTGAGGCAGTCCGGAGAAATGTTGAGAAGAATCTTCTCTAGCAGCTTTGATCCTACATGGATGCAAATGGTATGACTTCCATCAACTACAGTCATTGAAGCTGGCCTACAAAAGAGAAAACAACACATAACCTTCAAAAAGATTTTCAAATGAAAGAAATGCTTAAATGCAATATAATTTCAGAAAGCTTTGGGTTTTTATGCAGGATTAATTTTAATTTCTAAAACAACTCTAGGATGTTCTGAAACATCCTAGAAACAAGAGAAGGCTTTTTTTCTCCAAGTTTCAAATAATAAATTAGTAAATTTTATTTATTCCATATTCATATTAAAATTTCAGATACCAATATAGGAAAAAATATATTATTTTACACTGTTATATAAAGTATTTTTAGAAATAAAAATAAAGATGATAACCACATGTGGGGAAAATAGGATAATTTAGTCAGGCTCCCTTGGCTCAGGTCTGGTCGGGGGGGTTGAGCGGCACATTCTCAATTCTTTGTAAACAAGTTGTGTGTGGGTGGAGTTAGTGTGCATGTGCATCAATATATCTTTTTAGTTATTGCTATTGTGTGTTCTTGAGTTTGTGAAGCAGAGCTGGCCAGCAGAGCTCCAGTCTAAAAATAGGGCATGTTTACTCTGCTGGCAGCTGTTCAGTTTTTCTTTGGACTTTGCCAATAGAAGTTGAGTTTCTGAGTTTCTCCTTTGGACTGCTTAGCTCATAGTGTTGGGTGTGCTGAATAAAGCCTACTCCTACTTCAGCCAAGGCTCCAAGGACCTGTTTGCCAGTTACCTAGCTCATAGACCTGTGTGTGAAGGGTTTGTGAATGGACTTGAAGGGTCTATGAGCTCTAGACCCTAGCCGTAGCTCAATACCATGTATTTGGCAATCACAATTTCAATTTATTTTTTCCCCACTGGATTCCTTCCGACAGACATAAACTATTTTGCACGTCAGTAAACAGAGAACTAGATAAACAATTTTCAGTATATCCTACATTACAACACTATGCAGCTATTAAAAAGAATGAGGAAGATTTATAAGTGCTATTAGGGAAGAAGTGCCCTAATAGACTATAAGGAACAAACAATATGAACAATGTTATTTCATCTATACTTATAAAGAAAGGAATATATGTGTGCCAGTATGAGCATAATAAGTTAGTGGAAGGATATACAAAAAAACTAACAGCTAAAAAGGAGTGAAGTAATGACTTATGCTACAACATGGATGAACCTTGTAAACATCATGCTAAGTGAAAGAAGCCAGTCACAAAGGACCACATATTATATGATTACATTTATATGAAATGTCCAGAATAGGCAAATCCATATAATAAGAAAGTAAACTAGTGGTTGCCATGAGTTGGGGGGATGGGAAGTGATTACTAATGTGTATGGGGCTTTGTGGATGGGCAAGTGATGAAAATGTACTAAAACTGGTCGTAGAAATGGTTGCCCAGCCCTGTGAATATACTAAAACCATTGCATTGTACATTTTAGATGGGTTAATTTGATGGTATGTGAATTTAATCTCAGTAATTTTTTTTTTTTAGAAAAGACAATATGCAACTAAACAACTACAATATGCAATAAGTACACACAGGGTAGTATAGTATAAAATAAAAGAAGGTGGTTAGGAAACACCTCTCTGATGAAGCAGCATTTAAACTAAGACATGAAGAAGCCAGCCTTGTGGAGTCAGGCAGTGGGAAGAACACGTGAGAAAGTCCTAAGGAGAAAAAATTGAAGTGTCTAAAGAACTGAAAGAAGGTCAGCGTGGCTGGAGCACAGAGAGCAAGGGAAAAAGCAGCAGCAGATGAGACTGCAGAGACAACAGGTGTAATGGGAAACTACTGAAATGTTTTTAAGCAAGGAAGTGATCTCTACCTCGGCTGTGTAGAGTTGACTAGATGAGGCAAGGGCAGAAGGAGACCAACTTAGAGACGAGTACTGTGATCATTTGAGCAGGAGGTAGCACTGGCTTGGACAGGCCCAAGTGATTCTAGATCAGCAGGTATGACTTCCCATTTTGGTTTCACAGTAACTGAGGTTTCAGCTAGGGGAAGGAAAGCAGGGATGCCACATACGCTGCAATATGTGGGAAATCATATATAATGAGAAACTGTCCTGTGTAAAATGTCAGTGGTGCCCCTGTTGAGAAAGACTAGACTAAAATGCTGCAGTGGAGATGGAGAAAAGTGGATGAACTTGTGATATAGTTCTGGATGAAAACTCACAGGACTTGCCAATAGATCACATGAGGGAGGTAAGGAAAAAGGAATGATTCGAGGATTATGTCCAGGTTTCTAGCTTACATAATTTGGTAGATGGTAGTTTCATTTATTGAGAAGTATAAAAATAGAGAGAACCTGGTTTGAGTATGGTTAGGAAAAACAAAGTCCACTTTGCATATTTTTAAGTGTGTTATACCTGTAAGACATCCAAATAGAACTGTCAAGTAAAGAATTTGGTACTTGAATACTGGAGCTTGCAGGAGAAAACCAGGGTGAAGATGAGAGTGAAAATCACCAGTATGTGGACGATATTGTACAACATGAAAATAGTTACCATCATCCAGGCAGAATATATAGAAAGAACATATAAAAAGGAAGGACAAAGAAGAAGACTCGGGATTGATCCCAACATCTAAAGAGTGGGCAGAAGAGACTGAGAAGAAAGGGTCTGGGAAGTAGGTCAGAAAGCCAGGGGAAGGCAGTGTCACTGAAACTAAGTGAGGAGGCTGTTTCAAGGAGAAGGAAGTAGTCTAATGTGCTGAATGTAATTAGAGGAGGAAAAGGAATGTCCAATGAATTAGGCAACAGTAAAACTGTTGGTAAATGTGACAAATACAGTTTCAGTGGCATCGTAGGAGTACCGCGGAGCAAGCTGAAGTGATGTTGGAGATGTAGAAGGGGAGAAAGAATATATTTACAACTCTTTAACAAAGTTTGGCTGGATACAAAGCAGAGCAGAAAAACTGGTGGTAAGAGGAACATGTAATGTTAGGAGATTATTTTGTTTATGTGTTTTTAATATAAGAGATACTGGAGTATGACTGGTAGGAACGATCCATTATAAGAGGTAATAACTGAAGATCAAAAAGGAAAAACAAAACAGGATGCAGAACCCAATGGTGGGTTTGATCACCATAGATAACTCTCCGTCCTATAAGCCTCGCCCAGACTTTTTTTATGAATTGTATTTCTATACACTACTTTCCAGTTTTTTGCCTCTCAGCAACTCAAACAATATGAATCAGCACTTCTCCCATTGTTACTTGTTTAATAAATAACCATATTATTCATCCAATTGTAAATTATCTGTAATATATCCATGATCTCCCTTTACCTGCCACTCAATCATTAAATCTCACCGATTCTATTTTCCACTACTCTTAAATCTGTCCATTTCTTCCCATTCCCACCACTTACACTCTAGCTAGACATGACTAATCATGTCTCCCCCATACATATGGCCACCAAGTTCAAGGGTCTGGATGTCTGTACTAGCCAGCAGCCAAAACCAAAAAACAAACATAATCAATATCCTATTAACTCTTCTCTGCATTTAGCCTCATTCTAATCCATTCTTCAGCGTATAGCTATGTTCACTTCTAATGAACAAAATTTGGCAGAAATGATGCCACGTGACTTCTGAGGCTAGATTATAAAAAAAATGGCTTCCACCTGGAACCCTCTCTTGGCTTGCTTGTTCTGGGGAAATGAGCTGCCACTCTGTGAGAACACTCAGGCAATATACGTAGATACTCATGTAAAGAGGAACTCAATGTGCCAGCCATACAAGTAAGCCAGACTGGAAATGGATTCCCCAACCCCAGTCAAGCCTTCTGATGACTGCAGCCCCAGCCTACACCTTGCCTACTACCTCTTGAGAGACCCAAGCACCGCCTAGTGCTGTCTGTGTAGGAGCCTTAATTAGTGATTTGACCTGTTGGTTTCTTTGCTTCTAGTACAGAAAAAACAATGTAATTGCTGTGTTCCAAAAATGTAATTCAGAATACATATCCTATAAAAACATTTTTAAAGAAGATGTTCTATAATAGCTATAAAAACAGTAACTATTCTATCTATATGTGCATTTAATAAACATTTGTGGCCTGGTATGAGACTCCAACTACAACATTTAGTGTTACTTCCAATGGAAAATCAGTTCCAAGTTACAAAAAACTAACATAAAATGTGATAGATCCACTCACAGTTTGGGACTGTCATGCCATACAAATGTTCATTAAGTGTTCCATATATAAACTAGTAGGCTTTTTGACTACAGAAGCATAACTTCCACAGTACTAAATATCAGATCAACACATATAGATACTTAATAAATATTTGATTGAGTCTTGGAAAAATACACAATTAGAGCTTTCTCTCATTCAGTTTGCTGACTGATTTATGTAGATGATTTCTGAATCACATACTTGATAATTTGAAGGGAATCTGTTATTTACTCTCAAAATTTTCTTTTCAAGGAAGCCAAAAAATCTGGACCCTTAACCTAAAAACAATTTAAAGGCTTTTAAATAAATAATCAAAAACAACTCTGACCTTAGCATGTCTGTTCAACATTCTAGCAAGACAACAAACTAGTACTACATCTTGAATGTGGTACAGCTTAGAACTATATCTTGTATACTTCACGCTAGTTATAACATAATCAGGCAATATTGATCCATGAAGCCTTCCTCTTCACTTGATCTTAGCCAAAAGGCCAAGAAGCAATTGTGAAGTCCTTCTCTTGAACAGTCATTCTTTAGACTGAAGATTCAAAGGCCCACCTCTCCATAAAAGCATATTATTGGACAACATTTTCATCCAATAAATAATTATATTAAATAAGTCACCTATGTATACTTTTGAGGGGCCTTAACTGTTGATAAGAAACCAACTTAATTAATTATGTTTGTTACATACCATGAGGTATGTAACATGAGAGGGTGAACAGAACTAACACCATCTTGTTCCCCACCCACCATGCTGAGTCCTGTTTAACCTCATTCATTTGTTTCACTATCAGTTACAGATTAACCTTAGGGCAAGCACATAACCTTAGGGCAAGCACATAACCTTAGGGCAAGCACAATAGGAACAGAGAGTTTAGGGACTAGATGACTTATCACAACTCCTGACATCAGCTAGTCTGTGCACAAACATCACAATCTTCCTGCTTTGTAGATCACAGGAAACTTATTTCTCTTAAACTATTTCTTTGAAGCTATATTTGCCTTGCCTAAAAGAGTGAGAGAGCTCTCCTCTGCTGTAGATGTCTGATTCTCTGCTGTGTGCAACCTTCCCTGTATGAAAGCTCTTTTAACAAAAATCTTTGTATAGGTTTGCCTGCTTCATTCTTCGGTCAGAAAGTTCCTTCTCAGTTCAGAGGGTATTATACTCTAACCTCCTCCTTGCACAACTGGCACTGCAGCCAGGAGCAGACCAAGAATTAAGAAAGCATGGGTAAGGGGGATGTGGTGAGGGAAATCTTGGGGTCAGTGAGGGAAATCCTAGGCTAGCCAGCAACTTCCATGTGGGGGTACCTGGACAGGTTTATTGAATGATTTGTCTGGCCATCGAGGACCAAAGACAACTTAGAAAATAATAAAAAGATTTCATTTACCAACTAAATATTCAGATTTGCTGGCTGCATACAAGGACTGTCTGCAATGCCAACTATGGTGATACCCATGAGACATGCACCAGGGCACATCGGACAACCTACCCGCTTAGTCACCAGATGGCAAGTAGATTACATTGTGCCCCTACCAACATGTAAAGGATATAAATGCATTTTAACATGAGCAGACACTGCAACTGGACTTATACAAGCCTCCCCGTGTAAAAGGGCAAATAAGGCTGCTACGATAAAAGGACTCACAAAATTAGAGAACATGTATGGAACTCCATCCCAAATTGACAATGACTAGGGTACCCACTTCACCAGATATGATGTGCAAGAATAGGCTGAAGCCCACAACATATGAAATTTTCATCTCCCTTATAAGCCCATGGCTATAGGTCTCATCGAGAGGAAGGATGGCATGACTAAGACCACCCTAAAGGTTTTATCACCCGGCAGAACCCTGAAGGAATGATCCCCTCACTTAACGTAAGCCATCAGACTGATAAATGCTGCACCCACCATGGGACAATGTCTCTTATGATCAACTGGGTGAGCATATGCTGTTCACTAGAGCTTTAAAGTACAAATACAAGGAGGTCTGAGGCCACTTCAAGGGGATGAGGCACTTGTTCTGCGTTTGCCACAGAGCCTCCCACCTGGGAAAAACTTTGGTAAACTACAAGTTAAAATGGTATCCCCCTCCCAGGTGACTTGGTATTCTTATCCCATGGGGGGATTGTCCTACCTCTGGCATCACACTCAATCCTCCTTTTTACTTAGGAGAGGGCCCAGCTTTGACCCATGTGACCTCTCCATGCTCTCTAAAACAGGGAACAGAAGTGGGTCTACCATTATGGGTTGCAACAGAAGCCCCTGTTTATAACATGCTTGTACCTATTCATAGCACTGAGGGCCAAAATATATGGTACAGCCCACCAGGGAACGTGCCAAAAAAAGTGGTATTGGCACATGCTCATCAAACTGCAACTGTGTTATTGTTAAATGAAGACTTGTCTTATCTGGTACCTTTGAAACATTTATCTTACCACTCTTAGCTTCCTCATTTTATGTCCCTCCCTACGTCAGGAAATGTTTCTGTCCTGGGGGGCCACCTTTGCTGAAGTGCACAACCACTCCAACTGCTGGGTATGCAGAATTCGGCTGGAGTCCAGCACTCAGGGAATGCCCTCCAACAAGACAGAATGGGAACTATGGGTGGAGATGATGACTGTACAGAGCAAAGACCCGCTGGGCCCTCTGAATATGACACGAAGGCCTGCTCTATTATTTGATTAAAATGACAATAAGTAGTACATGTTCTCATTAATAAGGCACTACACTAATCACCCCCAGATACCTACTGCCTATCACATTTGGGATGTTCTGGGATGGCTTTGTGCAGAACATGGGATGTTAAGCTGGATAGCCCGTTTTTGTATTGAAGGGATGAATCATAGCCGACACACACACAGACACTGGTGTGATTACCATCCCCCACTGCATGTCATACACCAGGTATTGGACACTGAATGGACCAGGAGGAAAAACAAGACATTCAGAGCAGGCACCTTTTTGGCACCCAAAAATGATATTTGGATTTGTGAGACAAACCTCTACCTATGGTTTGGATGGACTGGCCGAAGCACTGTAGCCTTTGCATCTCTACCAGGCAGAGTACATGACACCCTGCTGGGAGTTCTTCATAATCTCCTGGCTCTAAATTCCAGATGAAGCCAAAGACTTGCCTAGAGGGAATAGCCGATAGCCATGTTTTCTCCCCAGTTGTCAGATATCATTACAAAATTGGGCATCCAGCCATTGGCCAAATTTACTGCCACTGCCCTGAATGACTCCTTCCAGCACACTTTCTTATTAAACCAAGAAACAATGCAAATGAAAAAAAATGGTACTACAAAATAGAATAGCTTTAGATATATTAACTTTTGCTCATGAAGGAACTGTGCTTTGGCTTGGACAAGAATTCTGTGATTACATTCCTTCCCATGAGGCTAAAGTAACTGATTTGCTTTCTCTCATGAGAAAGGCCATTGAATATGTAGACAATCTTTCCTTTGCAGATGCTTTTAGTAGACAGCTTACTTCTCTCCCTGGCAAATGGGGAACTGTAGCCCTTAGTATCTCCCTCTGCTTAACAGGGATATTATCTCCTACTGTTACTACAGAATAGGGATACAAGTCACTATCTGATATCTGGCCCTAGGGTCATTGCAAAATATTAGCAGATAAAAAGGTATGGGCCACAAAAGGTGTTGGGGGTGGGGTGTTAGAGCATGAAGAGGCCTAATGCCATCTTGTTCCCCACATGCCACGTTGACTCCTGTTTAACCTCATTCCTTTGTTTCACTGACCAGTTATATAGATTAACCTTAGGGCAAGCACAATAGGAACAGAGGGTTTAGGGATCAGGTGACTTATCACAACTCCTGGCATCAGCTAGTCTGTGCACAAGCATCAAAAGCTCCCTGATTCACAGATCAAAGGAAACTTATTTTTCTTTTTTTTTCTTTTTTTTTTTTTTGTCTTTTGTCTTTTTCCGTGTCCGGCAACGGATCGCAACCCTCAGTGTCGCCCCCGTACCGGACCGGGGACCGGCAACGGGATCGCAACCCTCGGCGTTGCTCCCGCGCCTCGCTCAGCCAGTGAGCGGGAACTGGTCCGTATGTGGGATCTGAACCCTCGGGCGGGAGCGCCGCCGCGCTTCCCAAGCAGTGCACTATCCAGTGTGCCACCGGGCCGGCCCAAAACTTATTGTTCTTAAACTATTTCTTTGAAGTTATGCTATATATGCCTTGCCTAAAAACCAGAGAGAGAGAGAGCTCTCACCTGCGCAGATGTCTGATTCTTTGCTGTGCAACCTTCCCTGTATGTAAGTTACCCTTTTGACAAGAATCTTTGTACAGTTACCTGCTTCATTCTTTGGTCTGAAAGTTCCTTCTCAGTTCTCATTTCTAACCCCACCATGCATTTTAATTCAATCTTCTTTTCCATAAAAGCAACTTTGAAAGTAATAGAAAAATCCATTCACTTATTTATAACAAGTATAAACATCTGAAATGGGAAATAAGGCTTGTGGACCATGCTTCTGTAAATATTCTTGAATGATAACCATGATAACATGCTGAATATATCTGCATATAGTTTTTAGATACTGCAATACTTAGAAATAATAAGAGCATGAAACACTGAGTGCAATTTTGTAAAGGAATGTAATTTATAAGGTAAAAAGAAAAAAGATTATCCTAGACTTTGAACATTTATTATTTGAAAAACAATGTGTTTTTCACTGAGCTGGTTATGGTTAGCAATTTTACCGTAGAACATTAATTTGCTATCCTTAATTTCTAAGGTGAGGTGGGAAAACTGAGATATAGAAAGGTTAAACATCTTATGAGTTTCCAAAAGTCAGAGTTAAGATCATATAATACTTTTAACCTTTAAATTCTAATTACAGTCATGTGCCACTCTACGATAGGAATAGGTTCTGAGGAATGTGTCACTAGGTGATTCAGTCGTCATGCAAACATCACAGAGCGTAATTACACAAACCTAGATGGTCTAGCCTACTACAAACCTAGGCTATGTGTTACAGCCTACTGCTCCAACCACCATTGTATATGCGGCTCATCATCGACTGATAGTCATGCGGTGCATGACTGTATATGTTAAAGTGAGGAAATGAACTACTTGTGAGCCATTTAGACCCTGGTTAAAAATGTAAACCAAGGGCTGGCCTGTGGCTCACTTGGGAGAGCGTGGTGCTGATAACACCAAGTCAAGGGTTAAGATCCCCTTACCGGTCATCTTTAAAAAAAAAAAAAAAATGTAAACCAAGTAAAAATTTTCTTTAGTAGAACTGTCTGGAAACAATTAGATTTCCCAATTACTACCTTTAAAATTCCTGTTATGATTACTGGGCAATTTTTACTCTCATAAATAGCTATTTATCACTCAAGAAGACAATGTTACTCTCTTGGATTAACTCTAAGTTCTTGTTAAAAAGCAAGGATTGATATATTTAATTTTTTGGTCATTTCTAGTGTTATAAATATTTTCCATCAAAATGGCTCGCTTAGTTGCCTTACCTATAGTATATTTTCTTCATAGTAAACGGCAAGCAGCTAAAACATTGTTTGTAGATCTTATTCTCATCTGTTTCTAGTTCCAATCCACATTTTGCGCAGCCAGTATATATAATGTTGGGAAGAGAAGAAAAAATACTCTTCAGAGAACTGTGAGCATTTAGAGCTATCTTCTGAGCTGCTGTAACAGGAAATACCAGCTCTAAAATCTGGGCTTTAACTAGAACCACTCCTATAAAAGACATACAAAAAGAAATATTTCAAATTATTGGACCAAAATTATAACTTTAATTTACAAACAGAGTTAATTATATAGTTGATTTACAGTCACTTATAGTAAAAGACACACAGAAGTCCTGTTCTTGGTTTTCTCTTCTTCACTCTTTTCCAAGACAATCTCACTCACATATGGCTTCAGTATTTACTCTAGAAACTAACAAGGGATCTGCCTGTAACTGAGTGAAGATTCATTTGGCTAGTTTTGCTGATCAGGTGGATGTTTTCTTCCTCCCCATCTTCTAGAATCATGGAAAACAAGTTTAATCCCTCTTTAAGGAGAAATCCCTTCAAATACTTGAAACTAGCAAACATGCCCTCTCTCCCTGCCCGTCTTCTGTCTTTTTAAGTCAAATAGGAGGTGAGTTATTCTCCTACTCTCTACTTTGTCCAAAAATAATATACGGATAGCTTGTCCTCTTTTTAAACCTTTTTCCCCTAATTTCCTGCCCATCATCATCCATACTCCGGGTGTTGGTTATAAGCCACATGAGCACTGAGAGTCCTCATTTACTAAATGTTTCTTGTGTTACTCATCAGGAACCTCAATCATTCACTGCTAATGTCTCATTCATTCAGCTGTTAAACAAATACTGAGCATCTACTACATGCCAGATGTTCTTTACTCCTAATTTATTTTTGCCTTACTGTATATTAGTGAAGTCTAAGAGTTTATCTGAGCATGATTCTACCTTCCTGTCCATATTCACTGTAAAGGCTTCTTTAAGCCTTCAAATTTTTTCTTCATCCTTTCAGAAGTTAGAACACTCCTGGTCAAGAACTCATCACTCTGGTCTCCTATTTACTTTTCTGGTTATCTCTCTCAGATCCAATTAATGGTGACTCTCCTGTTCTGAACTCCTTCCATTTACTTTAGTCTTTAAGCACCCAAAGACGGCTTCATTGTCTGTTCCAATCATGTCACATATCCCTACATGAGTTAATGGGAGTGGGGATAGTGGTCACCTATCTAATAAACTACAGCAGACTTGACATCACACCTTTCCACAGACATGTTGAATCACTAAAATATTATTGAATAAGAGAATTCAATAATTTTAGAAGAATGTCAACATAATCCTATCACCTTATAAATTTACACACCTCTTTAAAAGAATTAAAGGGTTATTCTGAATGTGGACTGTGCTTTCAAGAGATTTACAGCTTGCTGGGTGAGAGACTGAGTGAGCATCTGCATTTCTTTATGAGAAATCAGGCACAGCCTCATCCCCCTGTGGCTTCTGTTAAGCAAGCGGACCCTTGTAGGAAGGGCTCTCATGCTGATCTCTCTTTCTCCCTCCTCTTATTTAACTATGAGATAGGACAGGAAAAATTGCTTGTACTTCCATGTTCTAGCTCCACTTTTGTTTTAACATAAACGATGATAGAAACTATGAATTCAGCCCTCATAGCTGAATATACAGAGAATGAAAAAGGCTAAAGGGGCCTCACTGAGCACAGCCTGTCAAGAACTGATTGTAACAGTGCAAAGTCTGGACATGGTTTCCCAATGGGAAGTTTCTATGGGCTAAATGTGTCCCACAAAAGTTCATGTATTGGAAACTTGACCCCCATTGAACAGTGTTGAGGGTGGGAAATCCAATTATAGTATTTAAAAGGTCTTCAAGAGGTGATTAGATTGTGAGGACTGTGCCATAGTGAATGAACTGATCCATCCATGGAGTAATAGGCGTGGTTCTGATTCATAAAGAGAGCAAGTAAGAAGGTGAGCTCTCTTGCTCAGCCCATTCCCACCATGTCACCGTGAATTGCTGTAGAGAGTCACCCTACAAGGAAGAAGGCCTCACCACATGTGTTCCCGGGACTTTGGACTTCCTGACAAATAATAAATTTCATTTCTTTATAAATTTCCCAGGTTCAGATATTCTAAGCAACAGAAGTGGACTAATACAGAAGGACACCTCCAGGATTTCCAAGAAGACTCCCAATTCCAAGCCTCATCACCAAGCCGGTGGGATTATATCCTTAGTACTGTTAATCATCAGCACTGTGGCCATTATTTTGTTGTTATCCATGATGTTTATTTTTATTTTTATATCTAATTATAGGTATTCAATCCCAGCAGGCAACTGTTCGTGTAAGAAGCAGATAACAGAGTAGACTTCTCCAAATTAAAAATCTATGCAAATAAGGTAACCCCTCTACTACCTATGGCATTCTTTCTTGTGGTGACCAGCTCTGTACACCTGTAAGGGTGGGCCGGCCCGGTGGTGCACTGGATAGTGCACTGCTTGGGAGTGCGGCGGCGCTCCCACCCGAGGGTTCGGATCCCACATACAGACTGGTTCCCGCTCACTGGCTGAGCGAGGTGCGGGTGCGACACCAAGGGTTGCGATCCCGTTGCCGGTCCCGGTCCGGTACGGGCGTGACACTGAGGGTTGCAATCCGTTGCCGGACACGAAAAAAGACAAAAAAAAAAAAAGGTTTATGGGGAAGGGGGCAGAATGCACACATAAATATGAAACATTAGAAACTTACATGATGCTACAACACTACCCAAGATTTCACCATTCAATATAAATCTAGGAGTGGGGGGAAGAAGATATAACAACTACAATCCTTTGAAGTTGTTACAACAAGCAAACAGAAAGGACATCGTTGGGTGGGAGAGGGGAGAGGGAGGAGGGAGGGAGGTTTCGGTGATGGGCCATAATAATCAATCACATTGTATATCGACAAAATAAAAATTCAAAAAAATAAAATAAAATAAAATAAATCTAGAGTCTTCTATGGCTACAAGCAACTGCCATTTTTTAAAGTGGTATAAAAATATTACAGTATAAAAACTTGTAAATTTTCTATCATTTGTGTTAATCTTCTAGAAATATTATTAATTTAAGTTGTTAGTACTAATAAATATGTTTCAATGAAGATCTAAGTGTACAGAGTTCTTCTCTGAGAATTCTCTTCTCAGAGAAGAACTTCTCTGAGAAGTTCTTCTCTGTATTCAATTAAAAATTTGGGATTTTTGAGAGGTGTTGTTTTTGTTTTCTACTTGCATTCTCCTTAGCTTAGTTATATGATGTAACAATGCTAATCTATAATCACATCTGGGAAAGCATATATATAATACACATGTGAGTTAACATGACTAGTAAAATTCTAATCTGGCATTTGACCAAAGTGTTATAAGGGACTGGGTTTATGCTCACACCTTGTGATATAATTTAAAAGAGAGAGAGAGTGTGTGTGTGTGTGTGTGTGCGCTTAGAATCTCCAGAGTGATAAGAGTATCTTTTTTTTTTTTTTCCTTTTTGTCTTTTTTCGTGTCCGGCAACAGATCGCAACCCTCAGTGTCACGCCCGTACCGGACCGGGACCGGCAACGGGATCGCAACCCTCGGTGCCGCGCCCGCACCTCACTCAGCCAGTGAGCGGGAACCGGTCTGTATGTGGGATCCGAACCCTCGGCAGGAGCGCCGCCACACTCCCGAGCGGCGCACTGTAGCAGTGCGCCACCGGGCCGGACCAAGAGTATCTTTTTATGCTAATGAGATGACTGGTGTCTGGGGGACTGTGATAGCGTCAAGTGAGGGCCAGAAAGACCAAAGTCATGATTAGAGGGTTGGAACTTTCAGCCCCATTGCCAACCTCCTGGGGACAGGGGCTGGAGATTGAGTTAATCACCAGTGGCCAAAGATTTATTCAACCATGCCTATGTAATGAAACCTTGATAAAAAACCCTGAATAACAAGGTTCGGAAAGTTTCAGGGTTGATGATGCATCAAGGTGGTGGGATGGTGGTGCGCCCAGAGAGAGTGAAAGCTCTGTGCCACTTCCCCCATACCTTGCTCTATGCATCTTTTCTATTTAGCTCTTCCTGAATTGTATCCTTTATAATACACCAAAAAAATATAAGAGTACTCCTGAGATCTGTGAGCCATTCTAGCAAATTATCAAATGTGAAAGGGGTTTGTGGGAAACCCCAAGTTTATAGCCAAATTAGACAGGTGTGAGTACCCTGGGCACTCAATCATTGTGACTGGTGTCTGAAGTGAGATCAGTTTTGTGGGACTGAATCCTTAAACCTGAGGAATCTGACACTAACTCCAGGTAGTTAGTATCAGAATTGAATTAAGTTGTAGGACACTTAGTTGGTGTTTGAAGAGTTGGAGAATTGGTTGTTGGGATGAGGGGAAAAAAATACATTTAGTGTCAGAAGTGTGAGTAAAAATAGTTCAAACATCTGAAACAATTAAAAGAAACAAATAAAATGTATACACAATTCTCAACAATTCGCAAGACGCTGGACATTAGGCAACAAAGGACAGTGATCTCTAAGGATGACAAACAAAAGGTGACTGCCCCAGCTTACAGATGAGAGTTTTCTGGCTACAGTGTAGGGAAGGGGACACTAGGCAGAGGCTGGTGGTTTCCCTGAGTTGAGAAGAAAGGGAGATTTGAGTCTGGAAGGCTAAGGTGGGTCGAAATCTCAGAGCAGGGCACTGAACAGATGAGAGTTGCAAAGAGAGAGAACTGTGGAAAACTGCAGAGGGTTCCCCTAGAGAATTTGGCTAAATACTGACCATCACATGTGACCAGAGGCAAAGGAAAGAACCACCTGAAAGTATTACTGGGAATAAATCCCCAGAGCTTGCACATAGCTAGGCATAGTGCCCTTCTCATCAGCTAGAGTGGAAAACCTCATAATGCACAGGGCATTGGATAAAGAACTCAGAAGCTGCGCTTAGAGGGAAATTTATGGCTCTAAACACCTTTATAGGAAAAAGAGAAAAAGAGAAAAGGTCATATTAATGACCTCAATTTTCTTAATAAATGAGAAAAAGTAAAACCCAAGTAAGCAGAAGAAAGGAAATAATAAAAATCAGAGCAAAAATAAATAAAATTAAAAACAGGTAAAAATCGGGCCGGCCCGGTGGCGCACTGCTACAGTGCGCCGCTTGAGAGCGCGGCAGCGCTCCCGCCGAGGGTTCGG